TTTTAGATAATTTATACTCTGATGAATGTTTCAGATAATGTTCTGACAGAAGCATTCTAAAGTGCTAAGCAAAAATTATGAAGAAGTTCTTTGATGAAAGAACCTTTTTTTTTTGTTTTAAGCGCATCTGCTGACTCTGGTAAGACATTTTATTTTAAATATATCTTCTAACATTTAGCAGGTTCCTTGCTCAGAAGATTACTTGAAAGCAAGCGCTGATCAAGTTCTTAGCAAGCAAAGCACTGCCTAGAAGATGAGTAAAGCATGTTCTGATTTGAAGACATTGAAGCATGTTCTGAAAGAACGTTAAAACCAACTTGTCTTGTCAAGCGTAGGAAACATGTTCTTACAATTTTGTCATTTGCTCATTAATGCAAAGACGGCTGAAAGCACTCAAGTGTCTAAGCTAGTTTCTTGGAAAATGGAATATTGTAAGGAAACACGCAAGCATTTAATGCTCTCCAACTTTTCTGAAGGCAACAACGGTCTTATTGTTCCTACTATAAATATAAGGACATTTATTGCAAGCCAACTAACAAGTTAACAAATTACATTTCAAAAAGAAGCAAGAAACGACATAAAAGATTCTGGGCTCACAAACTCTTTGTTCATACACTTTGTGCAATTTATTCTAAGTGAAAAATCACAGTTGTGATATAGCTTGATTAGAAGCAAATTTTATTTCACTATCTGTAAAGATTAAACTCTTGTAATTGCTCCTTGAGAGACCAGGTTTGGTCAGATTTCTCAAGAAGACTAGGACTAGATTTAAGTCTTAGTGGTGTTAGTCACTTGTAAGATTACTTGTGGATTGTTAGTCACAATAGTTGTTGTGTGTTTGTAATCAGTTGAGTATAGTGGATTAAGTTCTTGTTGAGAAAGGCGAAATCACCTTGACGGGTGGACTGGAGTAGTTTGAGTTCAAACGAACCAGGATAAAAATAACCTTGTCATTCCATCATTGTTGAGCTTTGTTTTGAAAAGAAAAAGAGTCACTTATTCAACCCCCCCCCCCCCTTCTAAGTGTTTTCTTACCCCTTCAATGTGAGGCCTATAGTTTGGCACTTAATGATCATATTAATTCTGTTTTCTCACACTAATTCAAGTCAATCCTCTTGACTTCACATAATTGGTTGATGAGCACTTTTTGATACATACCTCCTAAGAGATGTTCTTTTTGTGAATTTTGCTTTGAGTCTGGAATTTTTGTCTTGAGTTTGAGGTCATCAAATGACCAGTGATAACATGTTGGGGAATGACACATCAAGGATAGTCTCATAAAGACTTGAGATCATTTGACCTCTAATATTTGAATCATTGTATTCCATTTTTAAATTTGATGATCAAGCCTTCCTTATCTTTTGTATTAGAGGTAAAGGGAATGCACTTGTGCAACCCATAAGAGATTAATCTCTTTTTCTTTTTATCACCCTCTCCCCTGTTTTGGAGAGTTGAGTTCGTTATTGAACCATTCAAGTTCTCATTACTTGCGTATTCTTGTCAAATTGGTTTATCATTTCTCTGTGAAATCACTAATTTGTCTGTTGAATGTCTGAGGTACTCTGAGGAAAGTTTTCCATTTTGACTTGATGTTGTAGTGTTCCACTTTGCTTATGGAACACAATTGGTTGTGCTTGCACCACTCTTGCGTTTTGTATATTTGTTATTCTTTTGCAGGATATATAGGTGATTGTAACTGTTATATATCACATGTGGGATATGTTCACATTTGGAGCCCCAATGCTTATATTTGACGGCGTGATTTCTGACTTGATTTATTTACTGATGTTAGCTTTCTTGAAGTTCTCTGGGTTTCTTTCTCTCATTTAGTTACTACGGACAGTTATCCGTTTGGTATTGCACTACTACCCTCTTATCTCTGTCATTTACTGCTTTCTAGAGATCCTGAGAAGTAGGGTTTTCATTGCTTTCCTTGCCATGTCAAGTAGGAATAGAGATGTATGACGGGGGCTTCTGTTGCTGATCATGTCAGGAATCCCTCTGGTTTATTTAAAGACCTGCTTAAGGCAATTCTGCATAGGTACCTTGATACTCATGCTTAAACACTTGTTTGTTTACTTGTTTGGTTTTTACCATGCTCCCTTAGGATTTCTCATGTAGGGTTAGTCCTCGAGCTAGACCCTAGGATAAGAATCCATGTATGCTAACATAGGGTAGAAATTTTCCTCTTTCATCCTAAACCTTAGGATCAATCATTGTATGATAACATTAGGGCTAGAGATTAGGATAGCCTCCCTTAGTTGTTTTCTTTTTCCTTTGCATTCTTGCATCTTAAAACTAAAACTTCTTTTTCTTGGCAAATCATAAAACATCGCTAATGAACTTAAATCCTTTTTTCAAGGTAAAAAATACGAATCAATATTAATTGCTCGTGCGCCTTCCTGTTTTATTTTAAACTTTGTCAGAATGATGTTTCTCCATCTTTACCATGACATGCTATTATCTTTTAGCTGATGCTTCACCATCGCATATCTGTTTGAAGCCGATGTTTCGCCATCACACATGTTTGTTATCCTACTTTGATTCTCCATATCATTGCTAGGTGTGATGTTTTATCATCCACTTTGTTGATGTCTCTCCATCTTTGCCATGATACCCTATTATCTTTTAGCCGATGCCTCGCCATCGCATATTTGTTTGAAGCCGATGTTTTGCAATTGCACGTGTTTGTAATCCTACTTTGATTCTCAATATCATTGTCAGGTGTGATGTTTTGTTCTCCGGTTTATTGATGTTTCTCCATCTTTGCCATGCTATCTTCCATTCTCTTAGCCAGTGTTTCGCCATCTCACATGTTTGTTATCCTACTTTGATTTTCAATATCATTGTTAGGTGTAATGTTTCATCATCTTGTCTTATATTTTGCTATCATGCTGATGTTTTATCGTCTTATCTGAGTTTGTGTTGCCATGCGATGTCTCGTCATCTCTTCTTGCTATTTTATCATCATTGCTGACATTTTGTTGTTCTGTATGATGTTTTGCCATCTTGATTGTTGCTTTTATCTTCTTGACTAAAAAACACAAACCAACTAAAACATATGAGCCGAACTACGACTGCTCTGATTACTTCAAAGGGATACGTAGGCATTGGGGTATGGTCTAGGCGAGCACAACTTTTATTTTTTCTACATTCTTTTCTCCTTTCTTTTGCATGCATTTCCTGTACAACTTAGATATAGATTTTTACACACCCTTAGATTAGAACAAACAAGAGTGGATACCGTAGAGTACTACAGAAGTGTGGGGTGCTAATACCTTTCCATCGCGTAACAGACTCTCTTATCCGATCTCTCGGTCGCAAGACCGTGATTTCACTCTCTTCAGGTTTTCTCGATGTTTACCTTTCCCCTATCGGCGGGATAAAAGACGTTCGGTGGCGACTTCATTGATTTTATTATCAGATGACAGTTCGGCCAGGTTGTTTCAGTTAGAGTCAACAACTGACCCATGACTTCTTAGAAAATAGGGATTCAACTGTCCACCACTGACTGAGTGAACGATGACCTCTCCCAAGAGAATCCTAGGCCCTAGAGGCCTCTATAAATACATCTTCCCTGTAGGAGAAATGGACAGATCTTAAGCTATATAGGTTATTACACCCCAAAAGCATAACGCTTGATCATAACACACTGAGCATACCCGAAAAGCATATCGCTTGATTATAACACACTGATTACACCCCTTATCGGCTTATACATAAGCATTTTACCATCCAAAGATCCTATCACCTTACATGGGTAAAACTCTTAAAACTACCATAAAATACCACCATACATGACTTCTTGGCGCCGTGAAAAAACGCTAACCACCATATAACATAATATATCTACTAAGAACTCTGAGTTTTTCTGTCCTTGCAGAAAGAACATGCACACCTTTCATTAGTCCAAATATAGTATCTTCCACGTATTCCAAAAATTTAGGAAACATTACCCATTCAATTTTAAACAAAAGAAAGGACTAAATATATGTTACTCATACTCCAATATATTTCCAAATGCATCCATTATAGTGTTCATATTTAAATTGGTTTTAACTCTTTTCCATCCGTAAATTTGAATATTTCATTTTGACGTCCAACTTACATCTTTCTCTAACATTTTTAGAAATGTGATAACAAATAGTATAGTAGTAGAGTTAGGAAAAACTTTGGCAACATTATTAATCAAAGCATTGTCTCGGTCAATCACAATAACATTGGAAGAATTTTAAGGAGATTTCAACAAATCATGACACCTCTTCTAAAGCTCAAATGACAATGTCTTCCTTCTCAAATATCAAATAAAAAACAAATTGTGTGTGTGGAGTCCATTGATGATTTGATGGCCATTTGAAAACATGATTTAGAATGTATGAGATGTATTTAGTACAAATTTGAGTAAGGAGATAAAAAGTGATAAGAATGAGTTTCTAATTTTTAGACATGATATACCGATAGTTCTCAATCTAGCATAGAAGGGTGAAAAGAAAATTCTCAATTTTATGTCGTAGCATAGAATGATATCCATGCCTATATATGTAATCATTATTTATAAGAATAGCCATGTGTTTCATGGCTAGTTCCACTAAACCTTGACTTGTATAATTTGAGTTTTTGGCCCCCCAATTATTTTGTGTCATCTTCCACTTTCCTTGTGTGCTCCATCTTTAGCCACTATAGTGATCACTTAATAAATATCCACCTAACTATTCCCACGCACCCCAATATGTTTATCTTTGGGGTTTACCACCCACAAGACCCCACATAATAATGAAAAACCTTTCCAAAGTGTCGAAACGCGTTCATACATCCTCCAAGAAATGATTGGGTTACTATCAACTTTTTGAATTTGCCAACATCATTAATTGCTCCTCCCATATTCCACTTTCTATGGAGTAAAAGATACATATAGAAAAATCTAATATTCCTCATGTGTATAAATTATGAACCAGCGTTTGTGAAGCAACACAATAACCATGAGATTATTTGTAACAAGAATGAAAGGCACTATCATTCACTTGTTTGTGATTTTTTTAGGGCTCTCTCATCTTCTATGCTTCAAAGCAGTTCCAGTTACAAGTAAATTCTACCATACCATTTTTCAACTTCATATGTTTTAAGACTTATTTTTCCTTTCATTATATTTTAAATTTGCCTTACAAAATTTTGTTTATATAAACAGGAAGTGAAAGCCTTATGCAAAGTGCTCAAGTTCATCTTGCATCAATGAATGTCAACAACCACAAGGTTTATATTATAGTTACCGAGCTTTTTTATTATTTGAAAACTTTGTTGAATGTAATGAAGAAAATAAAACTAGTATTACTAATGAGTTACAGGCTACATTCTTCAAAGAGAGAAACTTGCCACTGGATGAATTTACTGTTCTTGAAAGGATGGATTTGGAACTCCATGACTATCCACCATCAGGGGCTAATGGTCGTCACACTCCAAGAGTACCATATCCTTAATGTGTATAATGTGTGTCGTTAAACATGTGATTGATTTCATAAGTTCATTTTTAATAATATTTTGTTAAAAAGTGCTATTATAAGTTAAATTTCTAGTAGTGACAAATGTTAGTGTTAGTATGATTATGTAAAATGTATATATTAGAGAGAAGTGGTTTTAAATTTTAACTTAATACAGTATCTGCTTTAAGGCTATGAGAATGGATCATATCCCGTCCGTTCTAGTTCTACCACTAAAATAACTTGTAGTATCAAATATATACAAGCTTTTCTGTAATAGCAACAGAAAAAAAAATTCAGAACGATTATAACATTTTCTCTAATTGTTGTGGTTTTAGCTTGTTTATTTTAAAAATTAGAGTTCAATTTGATATTAAAACATACGGTCTAATTTTCAAAATTTCACTATTCTATAATTATTTTAAATAAAATTTATTGATTTATAGATATCAACAATGTACATTAACACATTATAAAATTATTATAAAGAACTGTTGTTAGAACTTTGAATCAATAATTTACATCTATTTAAGTCAATGAGTACATATCCATTAAACTACCTCTTCACCCTTACTTTTTTATAGTTGATTGACAGTTCATTTATCATAAAATATGAGTAATAATTAACATTTTCACTTTGGTGAATTTAAAAATAAAATTTTAAAAAATATATTATAAGAGATTTATGGTGCTTACATGAAAAATTACAACTTCTTTAAAAAATAATAAAAAATTATTTTAACACCGCTCTTCAGAAAAAACATTATTAGAAAGGATAGTGGTTTTTGTACTTGTAAAATACAATAATGGATATAGAGTATTTAAATATATGGTTGTGAGAAACTTTGTATATTAAATTTATGAGAATTAGTGATCAAATCTCCAATTTTTGGACCAAGTAATAGGGAAGAAGTAATTTTCTTTTACCTTCCCCATGAATTCATGGGAGTAGCGGAGATTGGTTCTTCCTCTATTATATGAGGGGACTTATCCTCTCCCAAGTACATCATATCTAAGTATCTTTTGAATATCTTGTCAGCTATCTATTAGTAAAGTGGATTGGGTAGAAACCACAAGCGTAGGTCGAACGACCCATGTCACAGTTGAGCAATATGGAGTGACGCCTACCAATTCTTTACAGACCCTTTGGACTACTTCTTTCTAGACCTAATAAAGTTATCCCCATCCACAATTCCTCAAGCACGAAGCTTAATAAGGGGGAACTAATTAATTTAGATGCCCAATTATTTATGTAAAGCCTATGGTAACGATTCCTTCAAGCGGTGTTATGGGAGAGTCCTTCAAGAGCTGCTTTTTGGAAAGTCCCTCAACCATTGCTTTGTGGGTGTGACTCTCATGCATTAGTTATGGGTGAGTGTTTACAGTGATTTCTGGTAAACAACCGCTAGTCCTCCAAACTATCAAATAATCTTAATGACTGTTATTTAATCTCTCTGGTAACTTGCAGGATCGACTAGATTGATTCTATGGTGTATTGGTCGTTTGGATAATTCTCATTGTAGAACTGATATTCACGGTTGGTATTTAGAATGTTGTGTGGACGTTCAACTTACTTCGATTACCATATTAAAGATCTAGTGACATGATCAAGTAAAGACGTGCGAAACTAAATTGCATGAATAAAGGTTCGATTGTAAAGACATGTAAAACTGCAAGAAACAAGTAAATAACTTTGAAGTATAAAAGCATGTAATGTAAAAGAGTTTCTGAAATGTAAAAGATTCGAAATAGAAAGAAAGCGTTTAAATGCAAGAAATCAGTAAATGACTTTGAATGAAAAGGTATTCGAATGACGAAAGCATGAAGATAAAAGCGTGAAATGCAAAAGAGTTTATGTAATGTAAAGTACTCAAAATAGAAGGAAAGACTTTCAAATGCAAGAAATCAGTAAATGACTTTGAATGAAAAGATTTTAATGTAAAGGCTTTTGAATGATAATGACATGAAGATAGAAGATAAACTGGAAATGATAAAGAGTTTTACTGAATCATAAATATTTGGTGTTATCATACGTACATTGTTCGAGCATTCGTTTCCCTAGCCATGTGGTATTTTGAATGTTTACTGAATTTTGTACAATAGATATGACACACAAAATCCTAACGCCAAGACTTCTATTTATACTACTTCACCCATAACGGTCTTGCCTATAAGATTCTGCCACGTTCAGAACATGCAGAACACTGCCCCTCTCTAGCTTCCACGTGTCTTCGAATGCTCCAGCGCATATATTTTAAATTTCGAACATCCCGCTTGCGTTTGAATTTCAAATGTTTTGGCACTCTTCGCTTCGAACTCCTTTCTTAAACACAGTCTCATTACCACTTTGAGGCTTCTTTTAACTATATCTTCACAACTGTCACTCGAAGCTCCGAGCTTTGACATGTTCATTCGAAGAACTGCTTCTACCATTCCGAACCATGACATCTTGCTTTATTCCAACGAAACATCCAACTTGCTTCGTTTCGAACTGTATCATCAAAATCTTCAGCCAACAAAATGCCCCTTTAAAATATGTATTTCGATCCTTTGAGAAACACTTATTTTAAATATATATGCAAGATTTTGATGTGACCTTTGAGTAATCGTAACATTTATTGTGTATGACTCCAGTCACATCAATCACGACGCCTTTTAGATTCCATAACCGTCTTGAATCAGTATTTCACAGCATGGTGCAGTTATAAAACAATGATTATTATTAATCACGCCTATTACCAATATCAACTTTTACGCCACCTCCTTCTCAATCCAACCCACGACTCCCACGTATCCTAGTCTTACTTAGTGGATGTTTAAACTTCCACACTATTAAAACCCATCAACTTAGTCTTTTTATTTTTTCTTCCCACATTCTGAATCTTTTCTTCCTCTTTTCTCACCGACTTCCAACAATCTTCAACAATGTCTTCTACAACATCATCCCAACTGAAGAAAACTTCCAAAAAGAAAGGAAAGAACACAGAAACAATAATGGAAAGCAAGGTTGGTACTTATCAAGGTCAATCTGTGCTTATCCCCCAAATGATCTCCAAAGAGAAGGAAATGCTCTACGCATCTCAGGTACTAATTCCAACTAATGCTGCTGGAAAGAGGTTTGCTCTAATGGGTCCTCTTACAGTCTTTGAAATCTTAAAAGATACTAGAAAAATATTCCCTGTTTGTTATAACTTTAAGCCTTTGTTTAATAAAATGGATATCCCTAAGACAGGCGAGTCTTCTGATTCGACAACCGTGGAAACTCCAATCGTTCCCCCAAAAGACCCCTCTGTGCTAGACTATGTGAAAAGCAACTTTAAACCGTTCCGATCCTGCCCTACCTCTGACACAGCTTACCAAAATTGGTTTACCAAAGTAGAAGCCAAGAAATCCCAGCAATGGGAGGAATTAGGAATTTACAATTTGATTAAGTTATCGAAACCAGGCTTCACCTATAGCCATCCATTATTATTTGCGTCCTTATATTTCTGGGACAGCACCTACAACACCTTCCATCTCCTTGGGGGAATGATTACACCCACATTTTTCGATATAGCAGCCATTACTGGTTTGTCACCAGTAGGAGAAACCTACATTCCTGACAATGAAGAGCACTCCAGTATAATTGACTTCAAAGTCAAATTAGCCAGCTTTTCAAAGTTCATTAGCCACTACCACACTGAAGGAGATAGTGTGTCAGATGTGGAACACATTGCTTTCCTCACCTTATGGTTATCAAGGTATGTATTCTGCAGCAGGTCCTTACAGGTAGTCAGCAGGTTCATCCCTCTAGCTAGAGACTTACATGAGAATAGGAGGGTGTGTTTAAGCGAACTGTTACTCGTTGATCTTTACGAAAGCTTAAGATCAGCCGTTTCGAGTTTGAAATCCCACACTCCAAAAAACCCTCCTAGCTGGCCCCTTCTGGTTACTCCAGTTATGGCTTAATGCCATGTTTGAACCCTCACTATCAACTGCTAATACTATTGTTGAACAAGATCCGGAGATAGCGGATAGAATCATTGAAGGTACGAGGCTGCGAAAACTTACCCCAAACGATGATAAAGATGACTTCAAAGTTCTCTTCTCAAACTATATCATGATTTTCTCCAAGAGACACAAATTTGAAGAGACCATGGCGCCCTTTGCTTCAAGGACTCATGGACCATCATGGTTCACCACGGCTCTCTCAGAAGCAGTTAAAAGCAAAGAAATTCAAGATATTTGGAGAGCCTTTCTGCTTCCCAGATTAATCTCCTCGCGAATCACTCCTTCCAAGAATCAAATCTTCCTTTTTGCCTATCAACCCAACTTCGTTTCTAGACAATTTGGCTTGTGCCAACTAATCCCTGAACCTCTGTTCCAAACAGAAAGTGCCATCACTTCTGGTCGAACCTTCAAAGCAAGAGAAGCCAAACTACAACAAGAACAATATCAACGCTTCGCCCACTTTGAACTAATACCTTTTGAGCCCACACACTTCACAGCAAAGGGTTTTCTGGAATGGTGGACAAAGTTCTACCAATCTTATATGTTCGATACCCTCTCTATTCAACAGAAACTAACTGATGCGTTCGATGTGCAGGTACACTCCAAGAAAGGTATGTTCACTCACGCCAAAGAGATTAGGGCTTTTCAAAATTATTTCGAAACCACTTATGATCCCACACACTTGGAATCCACTGTGTATCAAGCGGCTGAGACCTTGAAGGAAAAATTTAAAGAAAAAATTTCTAAGCTAAAACTTCCTTCAGGGTTGTCACCTGAGGATAGGTATAGGTTGGCATTCGAAATGCATCCACCTAAATTCCCTAGATTGCCTACCTCAGAACTGGCTCTGGCTTGGTTTCCTCCATACCCTTGGTGGTTCACTTGCAAAGAAATGTTCAAATATCTTCAAAAGAAACCAAAGCCATCTGAGACTGTGACATGGGCTCGTCATTGGCTCCACGATTTCCCAGGACATCTTCGCTATGACCTTTCTGCCATGTCGATTAAAT